GGGTCCTTCTTACTCACACTGCTCACAAGTGAAGAGTGCAGAGAGATGAATCCAGGAGAAGCCAATGTGGAAAAATGGTGCAGACTGGAGCCTGGAACTTACTTCCTCTAACACAGCCAAACACTTCCGTGCCTGCAACCCAGTATTGTCATGGGGAATTTTAGACTAATGAACTTCAGCAAATATTTTGGAGAACTGGAGTCGTAAGGAGGGAGGACCAGTGATGGGGGCTCTGATCACAGCCAGGCTGGAAACAGTGAGGCTGTAGGGGAAGGAAAGGGGCCGTGGGAGAGCCCAGCACTGGCACGGGTTCATACACAGGCTGTGTGTGGAGAGACCTTTGAGCCTGACTCAGAGGTGGCAGTGAAACCCTTATAAAACAGTCCTGAATCCCAGGAGCAAGAATCAGAGCAGAGCTCCCTGGAGGAAGGCCAAGAGAAAATGGTGGAGACCTGCTTGCCTCATGGTTAGTGGCGCCCCTGTGAGCTACACATAGCTAGGGATATGTTTCATCCCCATGGTGAGAACCTAGTGTAACCAGAAAGGAAGAGACTGGGATGATGCAGTGTGATGGGCAATAAACACACCCCAGGGGCTACTGAAACATGGACAGGAGCCCAGGCCCACTGGTACAGCTGGAGAGGCCACCAGACACAGAATGGGAGCAGGGCCCAGGTATGGGGGCCTGCCAAACAGTTCTGATTCCCCAGTTAACACAACAGGTATACAAGCCACAGTTCCATTATCTGATGATTAGTTAATTTGCAGTTTGGTTTTAAAGCCCCAACCATTTCCACAGGCTGGACCTAAAGGCCTGTCCCCCTCAGGTGTCCAATGGCAAATGATGTATTTCTTTCTGGTGACTTTCCCGCCTTCAGCACACTCTCTTATTAAAGCGGGACCCTCAGTAGACTTGCTTTCTCAGGAGACTGGTCTTCCTGGTGACATCCTTCAGCAGGAAGGTCCCTTTGCAAACCCTTATGCCTGCCCCCTCCAGCCCTCGGCACCGAAGTTCTGCCACAGCTAGACCAGCCTTGCAGCTTTTCACCTCTTGGAAGGGACAGTCCTTTACACAAGGGGCAGGGACCTGGCCTCATTTTCACCAGCACATCTGCTTAGTGCAGGTGCTCACACTGCAGGCTGCTGAGCCCCAGAAGAATGGCTGTACTAGAAAGGTGACCTGGACATCAACTATTGTATTTGGGTCCCTGAGGGGGTGGCCAGACCACCCCATCAAGTGCCCACAGCTTTCTCCCACCCTGGGTGGCATTGGAGCCAGCCCCTTCTCAGGACTAGAAAGCTGTATTACGGTAACTAGAAGTCTAGTCAGGGTCACTTCTATCTGCAGGATACTCAGGGAGGAAACATCCTGACAGCCAGAAACTGGAGGAGAAGGACCGCTGCCCAGACACTACACTGTGCCTGAGCTTCTCCAGCCATGTCTGGAGGGGCCACACATGCTCAATCTCCCATCTTCATCTTGGGTGACAGACCACAAATGTATCCCTCAGCCTCTCAGATGAACCCATGCTGATTTGCATAATAGACTCACGGGCCCACATGTTGGGAGAGCAAAGATCACTCACTACTTGTGATCTCAGTCTTCAGGAAGGGCGCAGCACCACTAACACCACTCACCAGGTAGAGCTGCTACCTGATCCCAAAGCTCAAAAGAGGTATCTAGGGATTTCAAAACTCCATTAGCCATTATGCCCAGCTTACAGACTGGAAAGGCTAGGTAACTTGCTCAAATTGAGACACTTAAGTTCAGGGGCTAGAATGTCAGCCCAGGTCTGTGTGCCTCCAAAGCCCACTATGAGGAAAGTACTAAACTAAATAATTCTTCCAGACATGTCTAATGTCCTGGCTCCGATGACTGAGAGCTTGCAGTAATTCTGAGAGGACCAGTAGAATACCCTGTAAAGGGCATGGGCTCAGGCCCACCAGTTTGTAACATAACATCCATCAAGGAAGCTCAGAACTTCCCAGCATGCTGGGCCCCTCCCACAAAACTCTCCTGTCCACTTCTTGCTCTTTGTGGTTCTAGGGATTGCACCTGCCTACCACTGAGCTACATCCCCTGCCCTCATTTTACTTCTTATTTTGAGACAAGGTCCCACCAACTTGCTCTGACCAGTCTTGAAATCAGTGTATAACCCAGGCAGACTGAACTTGGGGTCCTCCTGCTTCAGCTTCTCAAAGTAGCTAGGATTACAGGCCAGTGCCATTAGGCCTGGATCCTCATCTTATTCTTATCTGATTCAGCTTAGAGGCCACCTCCCTCCTCTTACTTAGAGGCATTGACCACCCCAAAGGAGGTGACATAGTGCCTGCAGTGCTCCATCCACCTGCTTTTTAGAGTGTACATCAGCTGCTTGCTTCATCCCATGACCTGTCAACTCTGTAGCCATCTCTGTGTGCAGTGCAGGGTGAGACTGCAGGACTCTGAGGTCCAGGCTGTCTTATTGAGCACCTGTCTCTTGCTTACCCTGAGTTAAGCCCTTTCCAGGCTTCTTCTCACGTAATCCTTAAAACAGACCTGCAACTCAAGTGCTGTTGTTGTTCATACCTTCCAGAGGGGAAACTTAGGCTGAGAAAGGTTCAGCAACAGGGCCACACAGCTAGCAGGTGGCCAAGCTGAGCTCTATATTCTTGACTTTTTGCTCTTAACCATGTATGGGCCCCAGGTGAATGGGATAAACACAGCTCTCAAAAGGGAACATGCTAAAACCATTGGGGCCAATAAGCTTCTAGAGATGCTGCTAATTCTAAAATGTTTCTTGTTTTTAAAATCTCTTTTGAGGTGGTTTTAGCTGCATCCCTTCTTGAGAACAGCTCACGGTGAGGACGCCTTGAAGATCAGGCAGGGAGGTGGGTGGAGGGAGAGGCAGCCAGAGAGACACTTGATCATCCAAGGCTGCATTATGGCCCTGACTTTTGGGAGCTGGCACGCTAAGGTCCCTCATCTGAGCAGATGGGCCCTGGAGTAGTGTTAAAGGTAGGAACATTCTTTGCCTCTGTGTGTTATTTCTTTTTCCTCTTTCTCTTTCTCCTCTTCCTCTTCTTTTTTTGACACAGGCTTTTACTCTATAGCCAGGCTGGCCCTAAGCTTCCTGAGTGCTGGGATTATAGGCTTGCACCCCCACCTGGCTTCTGCATCTTTTCTTTAACCTTACAAATGCTTAAGGGGTAAAGCCTGTCAGGTACTGTCCCAAGCCCTCCACTGTGGAGATGAATCCATCCCATTTGAGGGCCTCTGTTGCCGTAGAAGGGGTGGCAAAATCTAGAAATCATCATAATGTTCAGAAACGGGTTAACATGATTCATTACAAGGGATCTCATTGTTGAAGATGGGAGATGGGAGAAGCCCTGACCGCTCCTGATTGCAAAATAGCTCCTGAGCTCTGGCTCCCTGACTTGGTTTGTAGAGACTTGTTTCTAAGCTGGGTGTTTTGACAGCTGTGCTCCTCTGCCAGGAGTTTCTGAGGGCCCTGGAAGGGGCTGATGGGAGGCTCCACAAAGGTAGCAACCTGAAGCTAGGAATCTTCAGGAGTTGCCAGTGTCTCCCTGTGAACTGTCTGGGCAGCTGCATCTCTGCTCTGGGGACATAGAGGCTGAGCAGGCACAGAGGATCTTTTGGACCCTGCGCTGGTGTTTAGGTTTCACTGCAGACCTGTTTTGTAGCTAAGGAAACAGCCATTCAAAACAGTGATAATTTGCCCAGAAACACTGGGCTGAGAGTTGGCTCTTAGCTGTCTGTGGTCTGGTGCTGGGTGTGGAAAATCAATTAGTGCAAAGGGAACACATACTGGGGAGAAGAAAGAACAGAGCTGAGCCTAAGGGCAAAATCCTTAGGAAATATTTCCATATGCTTGTCATGGACCTACACTGTGAGAGATGGCAGAATTGCAGGGCCACCTTTCATGGAGGAGAATTAGATAAGTCCTGGCTGCTGGGGAAGATGTGGCATTGAGAGCAGATGATGGGAGGGTCTGTATGCCTCATCCAGTCATTTTAAGCTATGAATTGGTGGTGGACAGAACATTTCTAAATCATGGTTATAAACAGATCATGATCTAAAATCAGACAAGATTCAAAACTAGGGACTTGGGAAACATTATAGCTAGAAGGGAATTCAGAGACAATCCAGGGGTTTGGGGGGGAATGTTAAATTTTATTTGTGTGTGTGTACATGCCATGTGCATGTGTGGAGATCAGAGGACAGCTTTCAAAAGTTGGTTCTTTTTCTTCTACCATGTGGGTTCTGGGCATCAAATGCAGGTTGCCAGGCTTAGTGGCAAGCTCCTTCACCTACTGAGCCTTCTTGCCAGCTCCAAGGTTTTATTTACCTACTTTACAGGTGTAGAAAACTGAAGCCTCACTGGGAAAACAGCATGCTTTAAAAAAAAAATATATATATATATATATATTATATATATATATATATATATACCTGCGTGTATGTAAGTACAACTGTGTGTACAATGCCTGCAGAGGCCAGAAGATGGGATCAGATCCCCTGGAACTAGAGATAGGGACAGTTGTTAGCTGCCATGTGGGTGTTGGGAACTGAACTCTGGTCCTCTGCAAGACCAGCCAGTGCTCTTAACCACTGAGCCATCTCTAGCTCAGAAGCAGCATGCTTTAGATTATAATATGTTGGTCCAGAACATAGCTTGCTGGGCCAAATTGAGCCTGGAAGATGAGGTTTAGTAACAGCACAGAAGTTAAATGAGAAGGTTGTCAGTATGGAGGAGGGTGGCTGGAAGGCAGTGGGAGTGTTAGCTGGGCCAAGTCAAGCTTGTGGGATAGGATGCCTGGTGTCTTTGGAGGTAGGAAAGTATATGGCGAGGAAGAAGTGATACTGGCAAAGAAGTAAGGGTTTTTGTAGGGTGTAGAGCCTTTCCCAGTGCTGAGATGGCTTTGGAGTTCTGACAGCGCACTGGAAGGCTGTGTTCTGAGAACTGACAGCTTGCTGTTCCTTCTGCCTCGACCCTCAGGTGATCGCTGTGGTCATGGATGTCTTCTCGGACATCGACATCTTCCGGGACCTGCAGGAAATGTGCAGGGAAAAGGGAGTGGCTGTGTATATCCTTCTGGACCAGGCTCTGCTCTCCCACTTTTTGGACATGTGCATGGATCTGAAAGTTCATCCTGAGCAGGAAAAGGTTTGTGGAACACCATTTCCAGTTTCCCCACAGTCAGCGAATATGAAACAGTACCCATGGTCTACAGTTGCTAGTGGTGGGGTCCCCACTGACAAATGAGGAAGCAGGCTGCAAGCAGCCATTTGTCCAAAGAAAATGACTACCACCTATGACCTTGCAGTTTGTTCCCAGGTGTCTACAACAGAGGAACAAAAGCTCCTGTTCACATAAGGACTGATTGTCTCATGTTTGTAGATGCTGGAAACAACCCAGTTTTCATCAGCTGATAAGCAGATAAACAGTATGCTGTCTGTTCATACAGTAAAATATCATTCAGCCATGAAAAGAAATGAAGTACTATTATGCTACCACATGGATGAACTTGAAAACATTATGCAAGTGAAGGAAGGCATACACAAGAAGCTACATGCTCTGTGATGCCAGCTATAAAAGACCAGAATGGGGACATCTATAGAAACAGAAGGTAGATTAGCATCAGGGATTGGAGAAGAGGGGATGGGGGCATGGGTAGGTTTATAACTAAAGGGGTACAGGCTCTGTTTTTTGAGGTAATGAGAATGTCCTACAAGTGTGGTAACAATTGCATGTATCTGTGAATATCCATGAAAACCACAGACTTATGCACTAAAGTGAATTGTGTGGTGAGTTACAGCTCCATTAAAGCCACTGAACAGAAAAGAAACAGAAAGGCAGTCAGACTTCCCAATGGTGAGCACAGACCTGCCCATAGCAGAGCTGTCCTTGGAGGCAGCCCCAGACTGCCTCACTAACGTCACTAACCCTTACAGTGGCCCTGACAGTTTAGTGGCACTACCCTTAGGTTTAGATCAGGAAGTGGTGACATAGAGAGCCCAACTGTCTACAGCTACAACATGGCCCGGGGTTTGACTCTGTGTGTCAGCCTCCCACCCCCATGTGTGCAATCACTATCACCCGCTGCGGTCCACTTCTCATTACAAAACCAGACTTTATCCCTTTCTCTGGTCATGAAAATTATTCAAGTATTTAGATATAAGGCCATAGAGCTGTCTTAGTCTCTTTGGTGGAATGAAGCAAAAGAAATAGTCATCTTTATTATGGAGTTCATGTTCTAAAAACTAAGCGGCTTGTGAATTTCAGAACCTAGTGTATTCATCACCTGTTTTAGCCATTACTCTATGCCAGGTGCTGCGCTAAGCAGTAGAAATAAAACACTCAGCAGAGGAGAGAATTTAGGCTTCGGTATTGCATGAGAGACCCTAACTTACTACCTTGTTACTGAGTGGTTTGGTTTACAAAATTTCATCAGTTTAGCATCTCTCTCAGAGTTCCTGCTGGCTGTTTTCTTTCTCTCAAAAGAAAGCAAAGGATTGAGTGGAATTAGGTGATTACTAACTTGTCACTTGTTCCACAAAGCAAATTCACAATAGAGGTAAGACTGGAGCCTTGAGATAGAGTGAAATGAAACAGCCATGTGACCTACCAGTCAGTTTGCATATAAGACCAGGTGGACCTAAGAAGGAAAGTGCCAGTCAGGCATCCTAAAGATCACTGCCTCCTACCCAGGCACTTAGGCCACAGCTGTTCATGCTGAACCAGTAGAAATAGAAGGTGTTGGGTATAATTTCAAGGTCTTCTGTCTGTAATTAAGGCTGAGTCTCACCAGCAAAAAAAACCATCACAGAACTGTTCTGGCCCAGCTTTGCTGCAGCCATTGTCTTTGACTCATCACCAAGGCAGAAATCAGGGGTGGTTACTGACTCTGGCTGCTGCCTTCATGGTGGTCCAGAACCTCTGTAGGAAGGTTTAAAGACAGTCTTTGTCTTCAGAGTGGGTTATCTCCTTCTCAGGGAGGCACAACATTCCTTCCAGGCCTGTCTATGCAGTGATCTCTGCCCTTTCTAGAAGCACCCCCTGCCCTGGGCTCTGGTTGCTTTAGAACATTGGATCATCCTACCTGTAGGAACTTGGCTGCATGTTAATGGACAGGTGCTCAAGAGTACTCTTGATTATAATCACAGGCCTCCATTGATTTGGGGGTTATCCCTCTTACAGGAAGCCCTCCAATCAATTCCATATGCTCTTCTGTGAAATATTCTAGTTTTTTAAAGAAAAACTTTACTGCTGGGTGTGATGATGCATACCATTAATCCTAACACTCAGGAGGCAGAGGCAGGTAGATCTCTGTGAGTTCAAGGCCAGCCTGGTCTACATAGCAAGTTCAAGGCCA